ACCCCAATTTCTTGTTGGGGTGGTGCCCGAGGTTCTAGGTGGTTTGCACGATTTCGAAGCTGCGTGTAGATTGGGAAATCCAATCAGCAACGTCATCAGCAATTGTTGCCAGCGCCATCAAGCTGGCATTTAGTCAACTCGGCCATCACATTGCATTGGTGGCATCGTGCGACAACTCGAACATGGGCAAACGAATATCTACACAATGTTTAATTCCAAGTTTTCCCAATTGAAGAATGCTGGCAAGCATGTCCTTGAATCTGGCCACGTACGTATGCGGCTGCTGCCAGTTCCTTCGCGATCACAGCTCGAGACTCGCCTACACAGCTCTCGTGCGTGCCTGCTCACTGCGTGCGAAAAGGACTTGACCCTCCCTGAGAAATTCATGTAGGCCCGCCTGGCGGCATACACCCGAGTATCAAGCAGGGCCTGTAGTGTCAAACGGAGCCCATGTGTCAAGCGGGGCCCTTCGTCGAGCAGAACGTCGCATCCCACCCTCGGTGTGAGACGCCAAACGTACCAGAAAGGCGCCACAATCCAGATTCCGCCAAAAGCAGGAACCTCCAGGACCATTCGCCGCCAGAAAACACCCCGGCGACCCGTACCACATCTCCCCAGCCGTACTTTTCCATCTCCGCCAACGATCCACGGCCCCAACCGAAGCCCTCGGATTTTGACCGGAAGGTGGACGGCTCCCCGCCCGGGCCCCCCCCAATGTACTACGTTCAGCGGGATCCCCCTGCACGAAGGGCGGAGGGCGCGCTTGGCCCGCCGGCCCACGCCATTCGCCAGCCAGAACCCCCCGCGGGCGACAGCCGGGCGGCCGAGCGGCTACCGGGTCGTCCGCCTCAGTAGGGTCCGGAGGCGGCCGGCGCCAGGCGCCCGCGCCGCAGGGGCCCCGCGGGATGGCCGCCCAGGTCTGGCGGTCGCTGCTGGACGACTGCTGCGCGGATGGGCGCGGCGGGCGATGGGGCGGGGGGCCCTATGCCTGCTCGTGCGTCGCTTCCTGCGCCAGCGCCTCGCGGCTGTGCCGCTACGTGGAGACGTACGCGCGCGACGCCACCGGCGACATGTTCGCCAGCATGATGTCGGACTTCGTCAAGCATGTGCAGTCCGTGATTGGCCGGTTGCGCGCGGACGGTCGCGACGGCCGGGCGGCACCCGGCGAGGGCCGGCGCGTGGGGAAAGGGGCGGGTGCGCACAGCTGGTTGCGTGGCGACGGGCGGGTTCCTGCGCACCAAAGATATTTCCAGAGCGTCCGTGGCGCCAATGCGGGGCGCACCTCTGGTCGGCGAGGGCGCGTGCGGACCGCCGCGCGGAGTTCGCCCCTGGGCTGCGGCCCCTGAGGGTTGTTTCGTCTCACCTTGTGTCGACCCTTTTGCCCCGCCCGCAGCGAGCAGCCGGAGGAGATGCTGCGCGTCGTGACGGCCATAGGCCAGTTGGCCGGCGTCAAGGTGAGGCCCCCGGACAGCAGCGTGCGCATCCGTGTTCGTGCGCAGATGCGTTCGGCCGACGCCTGACCGCCCCGCCCGGCGCCGCGCAGGAGATCAACGACGAGACGCTGAAGCAGTTCGCTGGAATACTGCGGCTGATGCTGGAGTCCGCCCACGGGCGGGAGCAGCCCCAGCTGGCGGAGGCCGCGGTGGCGTCCCTGGGCCGGCTTGTGCGCACGGGCGGAGGCTCCGTGTCGATAATTGTGGAGGGGGAGGTGCGCACGCGGACGCACCGGGCCGCGCCCGGACGCGGGGGATCGAGCGCCCCAGAAACGGCCCGGAGGCCAGATAGGATCTCAGGGGCGCAAGTCCGCCAAGTCGGCCTTCTGTCTCAAGTCCGCCTTGCGCCAGACTTCCGCCACGCCGGGCCCACTGCGTCCGCCCGCTGCCTGCGGCGAAATTGGCGCCGCCCGGGATTCGGGAGCACGACCTGGCGGGGGCGCGCCGGCCAAGCCCGGGCTACGCCGCCTGCGAAAGCGCGGGCCGATCACGGCGAGCCGGGGCGGGGAGTCGGAGCTCGCGCGCCGGTGACGTGCGCTGCCTGAACCAGACACGGCACTGGTGGGGCTGCAGAGCACACACACGCACTCGTTCGCGACCTGTGTGCCTGTGCGCGCACTGACGTGGGGAAGTGATGGCCTGCGAACCCCTTGCTCATGCGGCGGACGGGCATCTCCCGGCCATTGGTGCTCGATGCGTGGCGCAGGTTCGTCGGCGATGGCTGCTGAATGTTGCCCGCCCCTTTGTCTGCGCTGGATGCAGGTGCGCTGGGCCACCGAGCACCTGCAGGAGCACAAGTGCTCCACGGACACCCACCGCCTGAACGCGATCTTGGTGCTGAAGGCATTGGCGGAGAACGCGCCGGCGGCGTTCAACGTGCATCTGGACACCCTGGACGTCAGGGGCTGCATATGGCGTGGCCTGACCGGCAAGAAACTGGCGCTGCGGAAAGCAAGCACTCAGGCCCTGGAGGTGGGTCGCAAGCCTGTCAATTCGGGTGCCTGTTGCGCGCAGCCAACATGCTCTACGCACAGGTCGCCCCTGGACTGACCGAAACGTGGGACTCTAACACACACTTCTTTGAGCGTTGCACACATGCATGTCAGGGGCAACTTTAGCTTCAAACACTGCATTTGCCAGAATTGAGTTGACTGGTGCATCTTGAGACAGCTATTGGGTGTCTTTCAGGGTGCTGCCTTGATCGATGCGTTTTCGTAAGTTCATTGTTCCTGAGGACGTCTGCTGTTTCGTTAGGCTTGCCTGGGCGTGTTTGAAGACCGGGAAACACGTGTTCGTGTTCAGTGGTACCATTGGCTGGCAAAGGAAGCCAGGAATGGCCTGAGTCAGAGGCATGCTGATAAAGAAGTTGTGCATGGGTGCCTCCTGGTGATGGGAGAGCTCCTCAAAAACAGTGGCGAATTTATGTTGGCAAGGTGCGTGTTGGTAACGAATGGATGCTGAAACATCCTCGATGAGAGCATCCATTGTGCCAGTGTGCCAGAAGAAAATTTCAAGTTGAAGATTTGCCAAACTTTTTGGTGGGTCCATTCGAAGATGTTTGGCCCCAGGACAGCATCAGGAAATTTTTGGTTGCTGGGAGGTGTTGTCAATGCCGTTGGGCAGATGGTGCTGCACTGTTGACTGTGTGAGTGTGCTGCTGTCTTCTCGTCAGTGAAGCAGTACGTACCCAGAGGATTAGTGCCCAATTGTGGTATCCTCTGCATGCGCTGAGGAGCATACTGTGGCTCATGCATGTGACACATGGACAATAGTCTACAGCGCGTATTGGTGCTTGGACAATGCTTAGATTGCTGCTTAGGGTTTCATGTTGTACAACGATCGAAAAGCAACTCTAATCCTGACAGGGACCTGGTGCATCGGCCACCTTGTTGCAAAGGTAATGGGGTCTTGCTGAATCGACTAACCCACAAGTCTGCCTCCAGGTATGAAGAAGTCGCCAACAGCACACTTAAATTCAAGGACGACAAAGACAAGAATATATGCCTGGCTGTTGTGTCACTGATCCCTAGACTGGCAGACTTCTGCCCAGAGCGGTTCATGGCAGAGCATTTCGGCTCCTGTATGGAGCACCTGCTGAAGATGGCCGGCCCCAAGATGTGGAATAGTGCCTCAGACCAGGGGGTCGTGTTCCTGGCACTGAAGGGGATTGTTGAGGCGCTCCATAGGCACAATGAGACGAAGGAACTGTCAGGCTGGCTCCCAAAGATTGTGGAACGGTTGTCTGAGACGATTTCGGGCCAAAAGAAAGAGAGGAAAGACAGTCCATGCAAGGAAGCACTTGAGGTGACAGGGTGCTAGCTACAAGCAAAGGGACATTGCACAGAGTTGCTGGTGTTCATCTCAAAGAACGTTAGTTTGCGTATTCCAGTATGTACATGCATTATGTGTGTTGTGTTTTGGTTCCCTTATGGAACTTGCCAGGACTTGTTATTTGTTATTTCGATTATGCGTTTATTCGACCTCATTGATGTAGACAGACAGTGGCTGGTGGCTGACTGGGGAGTGCCTTGCTGCAGTGTGAGGGCTCCCTGGCAGAGGCCTTTGGCCAAGATTGGAAGGACTATGCGGAAGACCTTCTTGTGCCATCAGTGCTGACCGGAGTGTCTGATGCATTGGCAGAAACATTGCACAAAGTGAGTGTGTGGGTGTTGGAACAATGGTCAGTGAGCATAGTGCTGTGAAGGCAGCAAATCAAAATTGGCTTTGAAGGAGAAGTTGTCCTTGGATGTCGCAGGTGACAGCGATTATGCATACAGCTATTGTACTGGCTGAACTTATGTTCTGGGTTAATATATTAATGTGTATGCCTGCAGATGCATGAACCTATGTGCTTACATGGTGATATGTTATAATGCGGTGGATGTTTACGCATAAATATATGCTGGACATGCTGTTCCCATTGTTGCGTCTTGGGTTTGCCAATGTAGATTAGTGGCCTTTAGTGCTGTCAAGTGTTCCTGTTGCCAGTAAGGTAGACTGTTCTATGCATTTAGAAGTGCTGTCTGATGGTGGCACGTGTGGTTTGTGATTTGCACAGTCTTTTTGATGATGGTCTGATCCTCCAGTACTAGAGTACAGTGACAGGCTGTTATGCTGACTGCATGCAAAGCACAGTCAGCAGCTGTGACAGATTGAGAATGTACTCACAGTACACGTGGACACATGGGGCATTGTCAAGGATCACGTGTATGTGTTATAGCAAGTGCTGAATGAGGATGCAGGCGAGCAGGGAGAGGTCTGTTTTCTTGTGAACCACTATGTAGTGGAATGAAGTGGGGATTGGTCCAGCAGTGGCCTCCTGATACTCGTGAAAGCCTCCCTACGATGTATGTGAAATTGAGGTGTTGAGTTGGCCCTATGGAAGCACCTGGCAGTAAGCATCTCTCTGATGTGCTGTGGCAGACTGTTGAGGCACTCCCAGGAATGGCAGAGCAGGCTAGGGAGCTGCTCTTGAATGCTTTGGCCTTGGTGTTGGTAGGACAACCTTTCAGATCTGATGCTGCTGAGAACACACTTCGCCAGCTCAGGACGGAAGTGGTGAAAATAAACACATGTGAGTCGCTGCCGCCAAACACCACTGTGTGTCATGCACCATAAGCTTTGGCAATGGAAACGCATCTTACTTTCCAGGATGCTGGGCAAATTGTGCGTGGTGCTGATGCCTAGTTCTTGCTGAATCTGTTTTTGCATCGGCACAGCACTAGGGTGCTATGTGTGTTGGCATTTGCAACATGGTCTTGCCTGCAATTTTTTGATATTGATGCCACTGAGGAAGGACATCAATGTCACTCTTTGCACTTATTTCGTTGGTTGGGCTTCATCAATGCATGGGTGCTCTGAATCCTGAGTTCGATTGCTTGTGCATCCCTGGGCAGTGGAAGAGCATGAAAGCTTGGTGATCACAGCTCTGCACATTTTGAGCACGTTCGACTTTGGCGACTGCTCCCTCCTGACATTTGTGTCCAACCATATCATCAAGCTGGTGAGGAAGAATCAAGATTGGAAAGTCAGGAAGGCAGCTGCAAAGACCTGCTGTTTGGTGCTGAGGCGGCATTCTGAGACTGCCGAGAAGGAGAAAGGAGGTATGCAAGCTTGCAGCGAGGTGCTCACACTGGCATTGGGGCTGTGGGACACTTGGGACTGTTGGCTTGACATTTTTGTAGCTGGTACCTTCAAGTGTCCTGCAGAATTGAAGATTCGAATATATGTGCAGTCGCTATTGTATGAAAGTCTGCTTTTGGTTTGGAGCACACACTGCAGGGCGGGCCACTTCCAGTCCGGTGGATGGTAGTATTATTTTCAGAACCACAATGCCAGTGGAGAAAGCGAGAAGCCCGATCAATTTGAGTAGAATTGGGTTCTGCAGCAGATGACATGCACATGTGTGGTGCTCTGAAGTTGGGCTTGTGGGGTGTACTTGTCTGAAGAACCCCATGGCTGGCCTGTGTGTAACTTGAGAACGTAATATGCCTGCTGATTCTTGTGGTGTGTGTCCAGAACCGCCAACACTTGTGCGTCCCATACCTGACATCCTACAGCAGCTGGTTCAGACAGCAGTGAGTGACAGGGACGGATCTGTACGCTGGACAATCTTCGATCTGTTTCTTGGCAGCCAGAGCTTGGACAGGGCACTTGCGCAGCCCAGCTGTTTGGTGCAGCTGTTCCCTGGTCTTGGAGACAGCAACTTGGCTGTGCGTGCAATGGCCATCAGGCTGATTGGCAGGCTGGGGGTGCATGAGCCTGAGCTTGTGGAACCTGTGCTTGGGGCTTTGCTGGGCCAATTGTTGCAGCAGCTTGAGTTCAGCCCTGTGGGCGAATTCCGGCAAGGTGAGAACAAGGCTGCTCTCTGTGTGAGAATGGTGTGTGGTCGACCGCTGTTGAAGATGGCAGCAGTGACTTTTCTTATGCAGTGGAAGGCTTATTTTTGGACTGGTTGGTGTTTGCTGCCTGGGTCCCTAGGATCAAGTGCATGTTCAGATCTTCCTGAGCATGATCGTTTATGTTTGAAACCGGGGACAAACCATTCGTTGTCAGTTCTACAGAGTGCGTGTTGCGCTATTGGGAAGAGAAGGCATGTAGAACATGTGTTTCTGGAATTTTTGTGGGCATCAGCAGAATGGCATGCAATCGCAATTTGCTGGCTTCACCTTTCAGCCTGGAGCTGATTTTGCTGACACCGGTTTCTGTTTCGTTATGCCTAGACAGTGCAAGGTTGCTTGGCATGCTGATTGAATCGGCCCCCTACGTGGTGCTTTCTCACAGCAGCCTGGAGCAGATCTGTAAGGTGCTCACCTGTCTATTGGAAGATGAAGGGAATAAGGCCTCCAATCGGCTGCTGCTACCCCAGACCGCAGCGGTACCAGAGGGTGTGCACTGGACGGCAGGAAACGGCGTCATAACGACTGTCCTTGAGACTGCAGGCACGCTTGCTGAACATGCAAGCAGGCATCTGGTTGATGCTGGCATAATGGACAAGTTGTGCAGCCTTGTTGTTGATGCCATCAGGGACAAGGACTGCCAGAACAAACAGGTTCAGGCGGTGAAGACACTTGGGAAGGTGAGGATCAGTGGGAAAAGCACATGTGGAACTGTGCATAGTCCTCGTGGAAAGTTGTGTACATGCTGTGTCTGTCAGTGCTGGGCATGACAGCTATTGATCTGGGTGGGTGGGTTTGTTGGCAAAGCAAGTCAAACAAAGTTGCTCGTTTGGCTTTTCGATTGTTATTATTATTTCTATCATTCTTTACTCTCAGTCATTGTGTGAGGGCATGTGCCGATCGCACGCTGTGTTTCTCCTGCAAACGCCCTCTGCAATGTGTATGCATGTTGTCGCCTCAATGCAAAGCTGTTGGTACTCCCAGGATGTGGAGTTGGTGCATACTTCGTTTGGTGTGTTGGCAACAGCTGAATGGTTAGCACTATCAGGGTTTTGCAGCTAGGAAGTTGTCCTCCTTGTCACATGCTGAAGTCCATGCGCTTCATGTGCAGATCGTGGCCAATACAGGGGATGTGGTGCATTCCTACCACAAAGCCCCTTGGCTGCTGCCACAGCTGCTGGACATGCTGCAAGTGGACGATCCATCAGTGCGGCGAGAGGTGGTGAAGCTGATGGGCATCATCTGCGCCCTGGACCCAAGCATGCACAAGAAAATACAGGCAAAGGCATCGGGAGAGGGGCGACTGGAGCTGGAAGGGGTCAGGCCAATAAGACGAGGGCAGGACCCAGGCCTGTCAGAGTCCACCAGCTATGATCGGAGTAGAGTGCTGGGCTGGGGTGCGTAAGAGTTTTGGCAATGTGCAGTGCTATGGGCTGGGTACCTGGTTGCTCTTGAATGTGTATAGTGTGCTGCACTGTTGCCTATACGGTATTTATGGCAATCTATCTGGCACATTACTGCCTGCAACTGCAAGCTACTCTGTATTGTCTTTCCTGAGTTTGTTTAGTTGTTATTGACTTGAAAGCATGGCAGCTTTTGCTTGCTCCCTTGCCGTTCGCCATATGAACTTAATGTGCGGGGTGTATGCTTCAATCACTGAGTTTAGATGTCTTTGCCAATCTTGCTGCATGTCTGACCATGGATGCCTGGATCTCCAACCTACTTTCAACTGTGGTTGCCACAGGGGGAAGCAGCCTTGACACCAATGCCGTGGAGCTCCTGCCTGCTCCTGGCATCGCGCCCAACAGCGAGGAATCTTACTCGATCATAGCAATGAATGCGCTGCTGCGCATTCTCAAACAGCCAGCCATGGTGATGTACCACAGGGATGTGGTGAGAACACTGGGAACAATAACTAATTCCCTATCAATGTCCTCAGTCCCATACTTAAAGAAGGTGCGCACTTCCATGTCTTTTTGGTGAATGTTTTGACAGTTTCTTGTTCAAGTTCATTGCATTCACAGCCACTCCCAGAATCTACAGCCAAAAGTGGTCAGGGGCCCTGCTGCTGAGTGCACGTGACAAACTGGACTCGGAGGGTGCCACAGTGCCCGCTTTCTGGCTTGTGGTACAGTGGCCATGCCCAACGCCCAGGTGACAGTTGGGCACTGCATCTCTGTTTCCAAGCCAACTATTTTTTGCCGCAAACAGCATCCTTTATATTAAGACCTAACGTGGGGGATGGAAAAAGGAGATGTGGGTTTTGTGGGGTGTTTGAGGTTTTGTAAAAGAGAATGAGGAACAGGTCATACAAAGGGCATCCGCTTCTAAGCATGTGCGTGTAAGACTCTCTGCTGTTCGGCATAAGTTGTGTGCGTTTGTGTGTGGGTGTGGGTGAGGCAACTGCCCATTGTTGAATTTTGTTGGACTGCATTGCATGTCAATTGTTGTGGCTGACTGTTTGGTGTGTGCTGGTGTTCGAAGCTCATACCCAAATGGTGCAAGGCCATTGACTCTGGGGACACTGAACTCAAAGTCTACATACTGGAACAATTCATCCGGCTTGTGAAAGTGGTAAAGCAGCACATGCGCCGGTTCCTGGAGCAAATCATGAATGTTGTGGAAGGTTTGTGGGTGCCATCCTGTTCCAAGAAACTCCTTCTGTCTATGCTGAAGCTGATTACTGAACTGGCAGGTGAGACTCTTTACCAGGCATTAAAAATGTGGTTCAGATGCTGGCGTTTGCAGTATGTATTTTGTCAGCTGCTTAGCTCATGTACCCATCGTTGCTGCGCAAATTCATTGCTGATTTGTGGCAAGCAATAAAGCAGTTCCTTCCTTGTTCCCCTGCTGTTGCGACTTTGCATTGTGGGTGCTGGGATTTGAATGCAGTAACTCACAGTTGCTGGTGCACAGGTGTGTGCCGGGATGACATGAAGCGCCATTTGTGCTGGCTTGCCCCCCGGCTGATCTTGGTTTTAGAGACGAGTGAATTGAAAGTTCTGGAGAGTGCGCTTCCCAGCATATCTGTGTTTGGGAACGCCCTGCAGGGCTACTTTCATCACCTGCTGCCTGCCATCTGGAGTCTTCTGAGCCCCCACAGGGTGTCGAAAGTGCCTGTGAGAGTTCAGAGGGATGTGCTGAAGTGCATCAGAGCACTGCTGCCTCATCTGCACGTTCCAGAACTGGGTGCAGGGTTGATGTTGCCCATCATCAGCTTGATACAGAATACCAATCAGTCTCAGAAGCTCATGGGCGAGGTCATGGACATTGTCTGTGCTATGGCGATGACTGTTGGGCCTGATGGCAAGGTGTTCTTTGACAGCATCAAAGAGGTATGTGAGGTGTACTGCTGATGTTACTTCTTTTGCAGACTTTTGATTACATCTTGGGGTGAGTTGCTCCCTGGCACACAAGGATGACCAACGGTTGATGGTTTTGTGGTTCTACCCATTGCAGGCAATGGCACAGCAGGGAATCGAGCACTGCCAATTTGAATGTCTGACAGGCTACCTCCAACAGTCCGATGCCGCACCCTGTGACCCAGACATGCCATGGGATGTTGGAGCAACTTGGCGGGAGGATTATGAGCCAGCTGTTCCTGAGCCTCCAGATGACACCCCAGGCATGTTCGTGTAGTGTTGTCAGCAGCATCATATAGTCTGACTCAATGTCAACTTCATGGGCCACATGCCTGTCAATCTGACCATTTGAATTGGCTTTTCTTGCTCCTTCCAGCCAAGTCTATACCAACGCATGTGGTTCAGGCATTGACCTGATTAGCACAGTGTTAATCGTGCAGGAGAGCGCTGACCTCTTGGTTCTGGCAACCTGGCAGTTGTGCCTGTCTTGAGTGACTGATTGTGGGGTGCAGGGGCTTCCCCGCAGCGTTTCAACCTTGATGAAAGGGACATGGGAGTCGCCTGGGACACAGCGCACCGCTACACGAAAGACGATTGGGCTGAGTGGATGCGCCAGCTGTCACTTCGTCTCCTGAGTTCCTCGCCGTCACCTGCCTTGCGGGCTTGCAAAGAGTTTGCACAGGTAGGCACCTGTGGATGAGATGCAAGAGTAGTGTTGTTAGTTGCTCCTTGTGGATACAAAGGACTGTTTGCTCAACTCGGTGTCACTTGTCCTGGTCTTGCATGGTGCTGCCTGCTTGTGCAACATGCGGTGCTGTTTGTTCCCATGTCAGCGAACTTGCCTGCAGCATATAGTTGATTAGTTCTGTCAACAAAATAGAGAGGCATAGTGGTGGCACTCTGTAGCAGTGCAAAAACTGATTGCCTAGCAGATTGTTCTGTTGGTGCATATGTTGCGATTGCAAGTGCCCTGTTGTGTTGTGCGCATGCATCCTTTGGGCAGTGCAGTTGTGGCTGGCTTCCTGGATGGTGCCGTTCCCGTGCACAAGCTGGGGCACTTGTCCCTGGTATCGAATGACATTGGAGGCTCTTGTTTGTTGCGGTGAGAGTGGTGTGAGTGGATGTGTACCAATTTTAACATCTCCATCACCTTCTGCACAGATGATTCCTGGCATGGCCAAGGACCTATTTCCAGCAAGCTTCATATCCTGCTGGTCCGAACTGAGCGACTCGATGCAGCAGCAGTTGGTGCGCTCCCTGGAGGCTGCCCTTGCAAGCCCCACCATACCACCAGAGATAATCACATCGCTGCTGAACCTGGCAGAGTTGATGGAACATGACAGGTCACAGCTGCCTCTTGACACACGGACCCTGGGTGCTCTGGCGTCCAAGTGCCAGGCCTTTGCCAAGGCCCTGCACTACAAGGTACTTGGCCCTCTTGGCAGGAATTCTTTTGTGTGGGGTGCCCATGCAAAGATGGGCAATATTTGATTGTGCATGCAGGGTTGTTTGTGTTAACAGCACTGTAAACACCGCGGCTTTGATGTTTGACAAGCGAACGCCCTGATTCGGATCTTGAGAACTTCTGATGTCATTTTCTCTTTCTACCTGCTGGATTCTGGTAGCCTTTCATGGCCTTGACTCTCCCCATTTGTGCATTAAAGGGCACTTTTGGTGTTTGCATTCTGAACATTTAGGTAGCAAGTTGTCTGGCAGCAACCTATGTTGGGTGCAAAGTGCAGTCTACAAGACATTGTTATTTTTGTGTTGAGATTGACAAGTGAGTACAGACATGTGCAATCTGCGATTATTTTCACAAGCATGACAGGATCAGGGCAGCACAGCAGGCCCTTCTGTGAAATGTGTTATGATGCTGTGCTGCATTCATATTTGGACACATATGCTCTTCTCCTTGTCACTGAGTTACTGGTCACAAATGTCAGTGTTGAGCTGCTGCTGTTGATAAGTTGTGCTGGAGCTTTGCGAAGCTTGTTGTGATTGAAGAAGATGGTAGCTGATTGAGTGCAAGTGCTTTGCATGTCATTGTGCATACGTTCTTGCAGCTCCTGTGGTTTTCTTCGCCGCTGTCTGTGGGTAGTGTAAACAGAGGAGATTTCATATGTGCAGGAAGTGGAATTCCAGGAAAGTCCTAAGACTGCAGTAGAAGCTATTCTGGCCATCTACAGTCAACTACGTCAACCTGAGGCTGCTGATGGCATGTTGAAATACGCACGGGAACATCTCCAGATGGAGTTGCGAGAGTCTTGGTATGAAAAATTGCACAAGTGGGACAAGGCAAAGGAGCAATATGAGAGAAAGATGCAAGTTGCTCACTCTGGCACCCTGGCGCACGTTGATGCAACACTGGGCTGCATGAGGTGCTATGGTGCCCTTTGGGAGTGGGAGAACCTCAGCGACTTGTGTGGTCAGCAGTGGGAGAAATCTGACCCGTTTGTAAGGTGTGTTCTGGGTGCCTTAAATGGGTGCTTTGGCAAGCTTTTCAAGCCCTTGTTGTGATGGCTGTGGTGGTGGCATTGGGGGGGTGTTTGTTTGCGCAGTTGTAGTGTTAGTTTTAGGTATTCTTTGTGGGCAGTTGGAGTTTGAGCTGTTTGGTGGCGTCATTTGCTACGCACACTTGACAAACCCACTTCTGAACTCTGCCGCATGTGTGGGTGCAATTGCATCCATTTGAAGTCTTTTAACAATTGGTAGTTTTCTTGCTGACGTGCACTCTGTTCTATTCGCAATGTGTGTCTCCAAGCCACGCTCAGTTTCTGCCAACTGCAGCTGGCACGTGCCAGTTTGTTTTGCTTGGGACACTGCTGTGAGATGATCAGATTACCGACGAGTGACAGGCACTGCTGTGCCACTTGCAGGAAGGAGATTGTGCCCCTAGTTGCACAGGCTGCATGGCACATGGGCCACTGGGAGGACATGGCAACCTTCCTTGAGGCAGCAGAGCCCCAAAAGGACACACCTGATGCTGCGACGCGTGCGTTCCTCCAGTCGGTCTCCGCAGTGCAGTCTGAAAACTATGAGGGCGCTTGGTCCAACATAGACCGAGCTCGCGATCTGCTCAGTGCAGACCTGGCAGCTTTGGCCGGAGAGAGCTATGAACGTGCATATGAGTGCATGGTCCGCCTTCAACAATTGACAGAGCTAGAAGAAGCCATTCGCTACAAGCTGGCTGACCTGTTTGCAGATGGTATGGGCTCCCTGTAGTTGCAACTTGGATGATCTCAAATTGTTATTGGCAATGACTGACGCCTGGTGACTAGACAAGGTGGCGAGGAAAGCTTGGCCTGCCAGTTGGTTAGGCTTGGAGGAGCCTTGTTCTGCCAAAACTTTGCTGACCTGATGACAATTCGTATGGGCTCCTTGTTGCCTGCCATCCACCTGCTGTAGTGAGCATGGTTTTGGTAACCTGATTTCCTTGTCTCGGTGGTAGATCCTTGTTGACAATTTAGCAGTCTGTGTCAACCTTGCCAGAATAATGAGCTGGTTGTCAGCAATTTGGAGTGGGTCAACCAGTACCTGCAGCAGCTGTGTCACCAGTATTTCTCTTGATCAACACGTACTTCAGGTCTTTGGGAACCGCCATCACTGCTCAAAAACGTCACCAGCAGACACTCAAATTGATTGCCAACAGGTCTTTTCAGGAATGTGCGCACTCATCTGAGGTCTCAGTACTATAAATTGCCACTGTGCTGTTAAGGGAATGCAGGCCTCCTTCGTCACCCCTGCATGGTTGCTCATGTTTTGTTGCTGCAGGTGACCTGAGGAGACATCAGATTCGTGCAGCCTGGCAGTCTCGACTGGAAGGTGTGCAACACCGTTGCGAGGTGTGGGAAAGCCTGTTGAGTGTCCGCAGCCTGGTTGTACCCATGCATGAGGACAAGGACACTTGGATCAAATTTGCAACATTGTGTGGCAAACAGGGCAGGCTGGAACATGCCAAGAGGGTGCTTGTGAACCTCCTGGGATACAACCCTGAGCATCTGTCCCTTGGGGACCGTGGCTACGCATCACAGAGTGGCATGCCAGACGTGATGTATGCGTACATCAAGCACTTGCATGCATCCGGGAAGCGCCAGGATGCCCACGACAGGTTGGCAAGCTGTCTTGCAGCCTGGCAGTAGCCCAGAGACTGAGTTATTGCTAAACTTTTTGATGCTGCATGATGCCAACTGTCAGGGATGCTCAGATGTTTGAGGGAATTGCTTCTTGCTGCAGCTGTCCTGAGCATTGGTCTGACAGCCAATAATCGCTTGTATTTTCGATTACCATCGTGGGTCATCAACGTCGATGGGCAGAACCTATGAACTGTCCTGCCCAATCCAATGTGAATGCATATAACGACCAAGTCGAGGTTTATCAGGGGGCTGCTGTGCAGCCAATGGACACAATGTCATCTGCTAGCAATCTCCATACAGTGAGACAATGGATATAGTGCACAATCAGACTGTGCAACTCCCCAGCCTGTTCACAGACACCTGAATCTTGCAGATGTTAAGTTGGTTTGCCTGCCTTATGGATGGGTGGTGTTGTTGTTTGTTTTCGATCGTCAGCGTACTTATGCTGTGTGGTTTGCAGACTGCAGGATTTGATCTGCAATGAGTTGGATCCTGTAAGTGGGGAAGAGGAACCGGGTTCACATGCGTTGGAGGTGCTGGACAATGCAAGCTCCAGTGGCGAGACCTCAGGATCTTACTCTCGTCTCCTAGGCCATGCGTACATCAAACTGGCCAAGTGGAAGCATGGTCTTGCTAATGTACGCTGTGGTTGGGCCGAGTCGATTGACCAGCTGCATTTGGAATGCTTTAGCATATTGAATGTGCTGTTGTATGCGAATATTTTGTTCCAAAAGCATTTTGGGCGGGATTGTGCCAGCCTACAGAGATGGTTTCGTCTCTTTCATTTCTTTGTAAATATCCAAATCAATTTGGTCATCAAATGTTCTAGTGATCGGAGGACATCCTGGGAGCTTGAATTGTCAGTGCTCTGAAGAGAGTGGAGCGGCAAGCGCTGGTTGGTGTGTTGCAGAAGCTGGACGAATCAACAGTGAAGGTGATGATCATGATGGTGGACAAGGCAACTCAGCATGCCCCAGACTGGCCAAAGGTTTGGCGGCAGCTGGCAGTGTACCATCTGGCCGCAGTTGAGCATCTTTCTGTCTTGGGCGCCAGAGAGCAGCTGAGACAACATGTTGCTCCTGCTGTCAAGGGTTTCTTTCAGTCCTTGAGGCTCAGTCAGGATGATGCACACTGGATGGATTATGGTGATGGACCATCTAAGGACACATACCAGGTGCGTGGCATTGTGTGCAGCAGTACTCTTGAGTGGGTTCATGGGCACCCAGTGGCTCTGTTCTCCCATCAAACATCCAAATCACACTTTGGCTGTCATATGCGCACTGTGTTGGAGCATGTACAAGGCATGCATTTCAGTTCCTTGGTGCGGTAGGCATTAGTGGGCCTTGAATTTGTGTACATGACGCACTTCAGTTTGGTACATTGTTGTGTTGAAATCCCAGCGAAACTTGGATTCGGCTGAGTACATTGCCAGTGCTGGAATTGAACACATTGCTGGGAGGCTTAGATGCGGACCACACTGTTCTTGTATGCATCGCAGATGCTGGGGTGGCTCGTACCCCAAAACTCAGGGCGCGGCTTGTGTTGTACCAGCTGTGTTGGCATCTCCTGGTAATATTTGGCTGTTCGGTTATGTTATTGTTAAAAGTTTTCTGTGTTAGCAGCAGCAAAGGGGAAACTGTGTGCCTTACTTGCAGGACATCTTGCGGCTGCTCACTCTGTGGTTCACATATGGCAATGCACCAAATGTGGTGGACGAGCTGAATGAAGGCTTCAGGACTGTGCGCATCGAGACCTGGCTTGTTGTGGTGCCACAACTCATCGCCAGGATTCACATGAAGTCGACGCATATCCAGAAATTGATCCACATGTTGCTTCTGACAATCGGCCAGGCCCATCCCCAAGCACTGTTGTACCCTTTGCTGGTCGGGTGCCATTCCTCAAGTGAAAACAGGAGGGCTTCTGCTCATCATGTGCTGCATTCAATGCGCAACTTTGCGCCGGACATGGTGGCAGACACTGAATTAGTCAGCCAGCACCTTGTGGAGATCGCAGTGCTGTGGGATGAGAAGTGGCATGAGGTGTGTGTCAGCTAGCACCATTGTTACACCTGTTTACGTTGATTCACCTGTTGTTCTTTACTATTGTTGCACCCACGTGACTGCTCATCTCGATGGAAGCTAGTGACTTCATTGCAGCATCTGTGGCATTGCGAAATATCTTCGCTTGATTATGCCAAACTGTCACAGCCTTTTTTCTTTTTGTTGGTGTGTTTCTTGTTGCTGGTGTAAGTGTGTCATGTGTCAAGTGTTCAGCCTTTTCAACTCTCCATTGGCACAGCTAGAAGATGAAAGACTTACTGACTATGTTTGCTTGATATTTATGGTCTTGGCATGATGTTCACAGGGATTAGAAGAGGCCAGTCGCCTGTACTTTGCCGATGGTGATGCTCAGGCGATGATTGACATGATGATGCCACTGCACGAAATGCTCAATAGCCGTGACCCCCGCACGAACAGCGAACGCCAGTTTATCAACAACTACGGGTTGCAGCTCAGAGAGGCATATCAGCTGCTTCGCAATTACGAGGCAACGAAGCTGGACACAGCTCTGCAGCGTGCTTGGGACACGTACTACCATGTTTTCAGGAAGATCAACAAGGACCTGCACAACATGTCAGTCCTGCAGCTTATTGATGTGGCACCAGAGCTGCTAGACAGGGTGCGGTGCTTGTCCACGGAGGCCCTTCACGTGCTGGGTTGCTTTGTGTTGGCTCCTGAGTTCCTTTTCTGAAACACACAGGACAAGACTGCTTTGCATGGCAGACCCTTGTGCTAGTGGATGGAACCTGCGGTGTGTCGGTGCATGGACCCCTCACTGAAATTGTTTCCATAGTTATATCCTTCTGATACCTTCAATGGAGCCCTTTCTGCTGGCATACAGCCGTGGTGCTTCCAACGTGGCCTGCTTCATACTATTCACTCTTCTTTCTGGGCCTGTGTTCGTGCAGCAATTTGGTGTGCCAACACGATGGCGTTTGTTTCCCACACTTTCTGTGCCTTCCTCCTTGTGTCTAGAGTAACACATTTTGAGACTTGTGTTCCGGCAATCTCAAGAACGTGTGGCTCGCCTCACAAAAAGCTCTGCTATCTACCAGGACCTTAAAGCAAGGTATTGACTTGTGTCCTGATGCAAAGTTTATGGTGAGTGGAACTGCTTTTGTCTGAATGGATTTTCCACAACCTGTTGCTTATGGCCATTGTGTTTTTGTTCTCAACAGTGCATGGATGTTGCTGTTCCTGGCACATACTCTGCATTTGCAAAGCAGCAGGTGTGCATCATGCGGGTCGTGCCTGAAATCCAGATAATAAAGTCGAAGCAGCGGCCTCGAAAGCTGCGCATCCAGGGCACCGATGGTCACGACTACATGTTCCTGCTGAAGGGGCATGAAGACTTGCGGCAGGATGAACGCGTGATGCAGTTGCTGAGGCTTGTCAACACCATCCTTGCCAGTGACTACGACACAGCACACAGGGAACTAAGCATTGCCCGATACGCAGTGACGCCCCTTTCACCAAATGTGGGGCTCATTGGATGGGTGCCGAACTGCGACACCATGCACAGCTTGATTAGGGAGTACCGTGAGGCTAGGGCCATACCAATCAACCTCGAGCACCAGCTCATGAAGAACTTTGCTCCCAACTATGACAACCTCTCGCTCATTCAGAAGGTGGAAGTGTTTGAGCACGCTCTTGACAGCACGCCTGGTGACGATCTCAAAAAGGTTTGTTGGTTGGGTTTGCTGTCCACAACGTGCACACTTAAGCAGTGCTTGTGCCACTGTGAGGTGCACAGTTTTGCTGCGCCAGTCTCGGTTCTTGTTGTGCCCATTGTTGATCCGGTAAACGAGGGTACATTGGCATTTCGAAAGAGCGTCCCACAGTAATCCCAGGCAGTGTTGCTCCTGTACAATCGTTGCTTTTGCTGCACTGGGCCTTCAGAGTAATGTAGGAGGACATATGAGGCAGTGGGGCCTAAGATTCCAGGTTGTCCGTTTTGGCAGGTGTGGCTGCGATGGTTGTGTGTGTGTTGACTCACAATCAACCTTGCATTCAGTCCCAGACACTTTTAGCGCAGCTTGTTGAGATTGAATGGCACTGTATGGACAGGTGATGTGGCACAAGAGTCGCAACAGCGAGCAATGGTTGAATCATCGGACAAACTACATTCGAAGTTGTGCAGTGATGAGCATGGTTGGATATCTCTTGGGGCTTGGGGACAGGCACCCCAGCAACCTGATGCTGGACCGCTACACAGGCAAACTGCTGCACATCGACTTTGGAGATTGTTTCGAGGCCAGCATGAACAGAGACAAGTTCCCTGAGAAGGTGCGTGGCTGGGTGTGAGTCTCTTTGTCCCAACATTACTTCACACCCAGGATACCTATGTGACACCTTTATTGTTTGCTTGTGGAAGAGGTACGGGCAATGTGCCTTATGTGATAGGTCCTCTCGTCCTCTGTGGATTGGTAGTGCCTTGTGTTCGTGGCTTGCTGTCAACAATTGGACAGCAGCAAATCTCAACGTCAGAGAGCAGTATGCCATGCTGGGCCCAGATTATGATCATGTCGTATCCCCTAGAAGGGACCAGCACGGCTCACCTGCAGGTTGATAGGGTACACAAGGGGAAGGTAAGTGAACGTGTGAAAATTCTCTGCCATTGTCAGGTTGTGGGGTGTTTGTTCAAAGGCACCAGCATGGTGCCACTCTTCTCCTTTGGAGTCATGGCAATTTGCAACCTAATGCCATAAAAAGTTTCTTAAAGCAAGTCTCATGGAAAAATGGGTGGTGAAGAATGCAGCACAGCCAGCGTAGCTGATTGTGTGAGCCAAGAGCACCTCCTTGTGATTGGTGGAAGGTGTTGGCAAGAACTGGTGTGTCATGGTGGTAAATAATGGATGACATAGGATCCTGTAAATTCTTTTGGCCTGTTCATTGCTTGCACACCTTCTCAGGCGCACGTTTTGCAGACGCCGTTCAGTTCTGCAGCAGTGCCTCCCTGGGAGCTGTGTGGCTTGGAGGGCACGCCACATATGAAAGTGGTGTAGCAAGCTAATAACATTGCTGTGATATGAGGTTGGCTGCTGTGACAGTGCAGGTTGTGTACAAACAAACAGGCGACAAAGCAGGCTGGGCACCAGCTAGGATGAGCTGTCCTCCCTGCGTGTTTACTTATTCTCGCTGAAGAGCTGGGGGAGTATGCTTATGATCCTTGTTGCTTGTGTATCATAATGTTCTGCATGCATCTGACGATCCACGTTGCTGGGTGTGACAATCATTACCGCCAACTTCCCAGGTACCCTTCAGGTTAACCAGGATGATGATTAAGGCCATGGAGGTGTCTGGCATTGAGGGGACGTTCAGGACCACCTGTGAGCTAGCGATGCGCGTCCTCCGAAACGAAAAGCAGAGCCTGATGGCCATGCTGGAGGCTTTCGTTCACGACCCGCTCATTAACTGGCGGCTGGCTTTAAACCACACAGAAGGGGGAGCAGGGGCTGCAGGGGCCGGGCCCGCTCTTGGGGCCGGGGGTCTGGAAGGGGCAGGCGAGGCAGGCGAGGATGATGTTGGCCCTGCTGTGAGGAGGGATGTGCGGGAGCGGGAGCTGCTGAATGCATACAACAAGCCAGGTGATGGCAACTGGCACTTGCACAAATGTGCTGCTGTGTTTGACGTGGTGGACGCCTTCACAGGGCAGAGCACTACACAGGCACCTGGGAATTTGTAGAACTGGATTCTGGGGCGGTGCCAGCTCTGCATCTATAGATTGGACTAGTTTAAGTCGAATTTGGAGGAATATCACACATGCTGCCCACCTGCCCTGCCTTGAGTTTTGGCCTGGCTGCTAGTGATGCTGTTGCGGATCAGCTCGTCTGGTCAGTAACGATGGCATGCCACCTGTTCGCACGTCCCTGCTCCTTCTGTGTTTGTTTGCACGCCTGGCAACTGACTGCAGCCCTCCAATCACTGCGGGCAGGCGATGCCCACGAAATTCTGAACGCACGTGCCATCCAAGTCATCGAACGCATACAGGCGAAGCTGTCAGGCCGTGACTTCGGCCCACAGACGAGCGACAAGGTGGACAAGCAAGTGGACAGGTTGATCCAAGAGGCCACCTCCCATTCTAACCTATGCCAGGCTTATATCGGGTGGTGCCCTTTTTGGTGAGGAACAGAACTGCAATTTACAGGCGACTTTAAACGCGTGGAAGGGACACAACCCTGTTGCCGACAGGAGCCGGGCGGCCTGCTGGATTGCCATAGCCTTGTTTCACGTGGACTGCAGAGCAAAGCTTCCGCACAGGTTGGGTTGGTGGCGGCTCCGTGCACTGCAATAATTTGTGGCAAGGTGTGCGAGGCCACAGTGAGGGTGGTTCCAAGGTGTTTGTGGAATAGCGATTTGTTCAGGCGGCCTAGAGGGGTGCCCTGGTTCTGATTACCCAGGAACTTGGAATGGATGTTAGACCCGCTGCGCTCGAAGTGGGTGAGGGAGGCGTGGAGGGCAAGGGGCAGAAGCAGATCTGCACTGCCCTGCTTAGTGTAGGAATACAGTCTTCCCATATGTTGGATGTACGTGTAGTGTTCAAATTGTCATTTTATTGTTATTTCAATTTCATTTGTCCCAGATGCGACCTGGTCGGTGAGAGAGGAGGCTCATTGGAGGCCGATAAGTGGGCAGTCCAAGAAGGATAGGATGGGAAGGGGCGCAGCGTTTGGGAATTGGACCACATGATCCCATGTGTGCAGCTGTGTTCTCGAGGTGCGGAGGGCCAGCGTGGTGGTGGTGTTCTGGGTGGGGGAGAAGTTTATATCCTGTTATTGTTGGTAACCTTTCTTTGCATCCGTCTTGTACATTATTGTGCAGATAGTGTATAGTGGAATTGGTTGGTGGAACCCTGTGGGTCTGCGATGAGGCTTTGAGAAGAATCATAGTTGGTGGGAGACACCAGTGGAAAGAGGATCAGAATAGGAGCGGTTGTAAAATTAAGTGGTGATCGTCGGGCAGGACATGCCTTGACACAGCACACGATCCCACCAGCTCTCAAATATTTGTGCGCCTGGTGTCCTGCGCCACAAGAGATTCGGCTGAATCGCCCTGCAGCCATAATATCGGAACTGACTTGCTTCTTTACAGGTGTGTCCACTGCTTGCCTGACCATTTCCTCGACCTCTTCCAAAGACCCCGGTGGCCTGTGCGCCTGGCCAATCTAGATGTCCAACAGGTTGTCTGTTATGTTGCCCTTCCTCTCTTGCTCCTCCACCCGTCGCACCCTCACAGGTGCCCTGTCCCTCGGGGTCGTTAGGGGCGTCAGGGCTGGCGTCCTCCTCATCTGTGGCGTGCCTTTCTGCGGCGTCCCAGAGTAGCTGGCCCTCAGCTGCATGTCCGCGTCGGGCATGGGGGTCCTCGACCTCCGCACCTCCTTCGCCAATCTGCGCCCGGCGATGGACAATGCCCTCGGCGTGCGCTCCGCCGGCGACGGCGGCTCCAATCCCTTCATCGCCTTCCTCCTGCTCAGGGACTTCCTGGCCACGTGCGCTAGGGCTTGGCCCAGCCGGTCCCTTTGCGGTAGCGCCTGGATCCTGAATGGGGTCGCATCGCCGGGCAGTCGGGTGGGCGTGCTCCCCAGCTCGCCCCAGGTCATGAATGGCGACTCGCCCCCCACACCAGGAGCTGGCGATGGAGTGGCCAGCATCCCGTACGACGTTCCCTCCTCCCCTCCTCCCCCATAACCCAGAGCCCATCCAGCGCCTTCCAAATCCCTCGCCTCTGGCGCCACATCCCCATTCCCGCCCGGAAACCTGGTGTTCTCGTGCCTGACCTGCTTGGGCGGCCCCTTCATCGCCTCCGCCACCTCCTTGGAGCTCCTCGGAGCCAGCTCCGCCCCGGTGGCCCCGAAGTACAGCATGTTCCTCGCCACGCGCGGCCACATCACCAGGCTGTCCGGCGCCTGGCCGGTGGTGCCGTACCCGTCCGTGTCCGCCCCCGCCTCCAGCCTGCCCGCGGCCTCCCCCTCCTCCAGGTACTGCGCCTGCTTCAGCCGCTTGCGCCTCAGCCACTCCTCCTGCAGGTCCGCAAATGAGGCGTTGTCCTCGCTGGTGTACTTGCTGAGGAACGCGTCCAGGGAGGGGGTCCCATCTGGCCGTTCCCCCCGCCCCACACCAGCGTTGGGCACCACAGGCGTGGCACTGGCAACCCCTCCTGCCATCGAAGGCGTGGCATCGCCGATCCCGAGCACGGATTGAGGCACCGTTCCGGGAGTGGCCGCTCTGCGGGGCGCGCCGAGAGTGGGGGTGGGGCCCATGGCGGGCGTCGGGGTGGCGCCTTCGCCCGGGTCGCCCAGGCGCTCCAGCGCGCCCAGCTTGGCCCGCAGGGCGGGCAGGTCGGGGAAGAAGTCGCACTCGATGATCCGCCCCAGGGCCGCCACGTACTCGTCCTCGTCCATCACCACCTTCTTGCGCTTCGGGGGCCGCGGGGGCGGCGGGGGCATCATCAGGTCGTCCTTCGAGGGTGCCATTTTCGCGGGCCTGGCCATTCGGGGGCCTGTGCGACTTGTGTGAGGGGCTGTCCCCTTGCTGGGCTGAGGGCTGGGGGCGCCGGGCACCAGCGGTCGCAGGCGCTACCCGACCCGTGGCCTGCGCGGGTACGCCTGCCTGCCGCCTGCCTCCCGGGCACCTGTGCCTGTGCGGCCAGGTCAAGAGGGAAGTCCGCTGCGGGTCCCCCCCCCCTTTTGCACGGGTGAAAAAACGCATTTTATGTAAGACATGGCTCCATGCGAAACTGTTGGGAAGCTGTGATGTGTGCCCAAGCTGACAGCGACGGACCGAGAGGAGGCGCAACCGCCCCGGGGGCGAGTGCTGCGGCCGAGCGGCTGCTTGCTTCGCGCCGTGGCCATGTTTTCCATATCCATGGAGGTGTCTGAAGACGCTTCTCGCGATGGCAACCTCGACAGGGCGGCCGTCGAAACCCAGCCTGACGGCTCGAGCTCGAAGATCGAGTTCAGCCTGGGCAACCCGCGCGTGGAGCACGTGACGGGCGTGATTCACCTCTACCGCCAAGTGGAGGCGTATGACGGGACGGAAGGGGCGTCTGAGGAGGTGGGGAGAAGGAAAAGGCGGGGAGAGGCTATGCTTGACTCTCTGCCAGCTGGCGGTGGCTGTGGCCATGGCAGCGGCCGCGCGGAAGCAATTCGACATGCGGCGCGCCGCGGCAGCGCTACCATCCAGGCGGAAAATTGGCCCGCGCCAGTGTGCGCCCCTTCCCTCTTGAGACTTGCGTTCCTGATGCTTGGTGAAATTTGTGCATCCCTGTACATCGCTGGTTGCCGCTGTTGCGTGAGCCCAGTCACCCTACAAGGCAACAAAGCGCTGGAAGCCAACATCATTTTCTGTTCGTGAGGTGTTGATGATCTTCCGGCACGGCTCACCTGTGTTGCGATTGTTCTAGTGATGCTTCAGTGTATTCATCTCTTTTGAGCGCCCAGAATGCGTTCAAAACGCGCCCTCTTGCCATCTTGCTGATGGGCCTTTGGAACCGACGTTTTCATTGGGAGTAAGGCCAAGTAGATGGACAATGAAGTGTCCTACAGGGCCTCACACCCTTCAGGATACCAATGGTTGCACTTTACCTCTTGACATTTCAGTACTATACCACCATCCCTGCCAGAATTACAGAAGGCAGTCCGTCTCTGGCAATGGCATCACTAGCTATTGGCAGCAGCGAGTTCACTCCGTGTGTGGGGATGATTGCTGCCACTAATGGACAGGACCACACTCGCTCCCAGTAGCCTCTCCAGCCACTCGCAGCTGTTTCGCTGTGCGTACTTTCCCCACTTAAGAATATTGCAACTGACGTGTCCCCTGCCAAACGTTTACTGTCTGCCAGTAACATTTCACCGCATTGGAGGTGCCCTTGTGAATGTGCCCTGCTCATTCTGGATGTGCTGATGTTCGCTTTCCCAAGTCATGTAAGTTGTGTTCGTGTCAGTACCATGTACGTTGTGTGCACGTTCCAGGTGGTAGTGGCGGGGAGGTGCTGTCGACTGTGCGTGTTGGCTGTGCCTGCCGATGTGGGTGTGAAGGACTTCTGCACTTTTTGTGGGGCCTACCTCCAGTACATAAAGGAGATGATTTTTTTGAGGAAGGGGACAGGGAGGAACACGGCATACATGGTGTACCTCCGTTTTGACACTGAAGACTCCGCTGAGAGCTTCTTTTCAGAATACAACCGCAAACCGGTGAGCCAGGATTCAGCGATTACTGTGGGCAGTGGAGCCCAAGTTGACTTGCCAAGACAGGGGCAATGGTAGCCCATTGCAACAGATATTGTGAGGCAAGAAGACAATGGGACACAGTCACTGTGGGTGTGCATGTAGCCAACGAAGTAGATGTGCCAACAGCTTCTGGCAAAGTATGCCAAAATGTGCAGCAGCCAAGTGCATTGCATCCGCTCCCGGCCCCTGTCGAACTTCTCAACGTGGGCTGGCATCAACCACCAAATACAAAAGTTGCTGCCACATTTCAGTTGCCGCAATGTTGGCAAAAAATGGCACAGAGAAGTGTCTGACTGCTGCTGCTTTATTTTGTAAGTGCCTGGGGCGGAATGCTTATGTGAATGCGCTGGAAACTGCAGCAAACATGCAGCTCGATGGAGCTGTTCTGCAGTGTGTAGGTACATTGCAGATGTCCATTGTTCATTGTCCTGTGCACATTTGAATATTTGCACATTTACTGTTACACTCTTGAGCATTCTTGTTGTTTCGATTGGTGTCTGTGTCTCATTCCCAAGTTTGTGGCAGATATATGCATGAGAAAGAGTATTGTAGTTCTGCAGACATTCTGGAGAACAAGGAGGTTGGAATGCCTCATTTTTGCTTTTGTTTTTCTGTGTGGAACAAGCTCAATTTCCCAATGCTGTTCAATCACATGCAGGCACATGTGAGATTATGACAAATTCTGGTACTTGCCTTGCAGTATTCGCTTTTGGAGAAGGAAGTTGTCTGGAAGCTGGTGTATGTTCGCGAGTTGGAGTTCCACACTGAGGGTGCAGCACACCCCCGTGCAGGGGAGACCGAGCTGCCGACCTGCCCTGTGTGCTTGGAGCGACTTGATCAGCACATCAGTGGCGTTGTGACAACAGTAAGGGCACCCCCAACCCCCTGGCGCTGTAGGTGGGCTGGCAATTGGCCCTAATGTCATAGTATGTACAATTGCAGTATCCAGAGGGTGCAATGGATGGAGTGGTGTATTCTCTGGTCAGCTTTTATTGATTCAGTGGTGGATTTGGGCAGGTAATGTGGCCAGTAATGGTTCTTGCTATGTGGGTGATATGATGCGTTGGACACTGTGGTACTGTCAACAAAGAGATGTGACAGAAGCTGCTGAGCACTGGCATCTTCAAACACATCAGGTGCTGTTCCACTCATAGGGTACCTGATGGCCTGCACTCCGTACCAGCACAAGGCAGTGTCGGTGAAATTTCATGCTCACGATGCCAGAAGGACTCCTTGTTTGCCCACCTGCTCACCAGCATACTTTGTGTGCTTCCTTCAGCCCAGCGTGTCACCCTCTGCACCCTTGCTCAGGGTGGTATCGCACCCTTTTCAGCTTTGTGAACGCTGATGTGACAACTGTTTGCTGTGCAGGTTTGCAACCACCAATTCCACAACGAGTGCCTGATGAAGTGGGGCGACGTGACTTGCCCAGTGTGTCGTTATTGCATGCAAAGAACATCGGGCACCACACGATGCAGCATCTGCGGGGCTGATGAAGATCTGTGGATCTGTCTCATTTGTGGAAAAGTCGGCTGCGGGAGGTACAAGAGCGGACACGCCATAGACCACTGGAAGCAGTCCCAGCACTGCTATGCGCTATGTGTGGAAAGCCAAAGGGTGAGCCTGTTGGCAGCTAACGATGGCAAATCAACCAAAACGACTGGGTCTTGTTGAAACGATGAGCACCTGCGTTCAAGTGCTACAATTAGACGAGTGGTGCGTTGCGAGGCAGGGGTGCTGGTCCAGTGGCCCTAGTAGCAGCATGGCCAGAGTTCTGGCAGAATCTTGGGTTCCTAAAAAAACGCTGAATGTGTATTGCTGTGCGGATGCTTGCCTTGTCAAATCCAGGTGTGGGACTATGTCCGTGATGGTTATGTGCATCGACTGATACGTTCGAAAACAGGCGGCAAGCTCATCGAAGTGCCAACACCTGGGGCAGAAGGGGAAGGCTCTGGTGGGACCGGATCATCCGCAGGGTGCACAAAAGGGAATGAGGCTAAATACGACGAAGAAGGCGATGCCATGGTTGCCAGCAAGTTAGACGCCATCGCCTTCGAGTACAATCACCTGCTCACTGCCCAATTGGAGAGTCAAAGGCAGTACTTTGAGGTGTGAACCGCCCATGTGGCAAGGCGTTGTGGTTGCACGGCACTGTGTCCTCGCTAGTTTGTTCCCAATGTGAGACTGCGTTGCTGCGTTTGCTGCAGAAAGTAGGACCAACAAAGTGCGTGGATCTGACAAAGCACCACGCTATGCCAGCAACGAATGTGAAGTCGAGTGTTGGTTTGACTTCAGATACCCTACGGCATACAGGAGTGGGCCATACGGAACCAACAGGACTAGAAATTGTAGAAATCAGATGACCTACAGACCTGTCACGACTCTGGTGCCTCCATGGCACGCCATACCGAAACGCATCGGAGATACGTGCACTTGTAAAGCAAGTGATTCTGCAGCTCACGCTAGCGCGCAGACGTGCTACGTTGAGCGTAGGACAACAGCCAGTGGTGGTCACCCTGTGCACATTATGCACACCTGACGCAGTTCCCCTTTCTATTTTCAGGATCTGCTGTGCAAAATGGAGGCTGAGGCGGAGCGGCGATGCCAATCTGCCAGCGAAGCAGCTGTGAGGTCGAGCTCAAGGTCAGTTGAAGAATCTAAAGGGCAAGCCAAGGACGCCATGAAACAGTGCAAGATGGCACAAAAAAAGATGGTGCGTTGCCAGTGATATTCTGTCGGCTGTTTTTGCAGCAGTTACGTTGTAAGGATGTCTGCATGTTGCACAATGAGATTTGTCTTCCGTTGCATTGATCCAACGAAAGAAGATTGAAGATTTTGGATCGCTTTACGAAAGGATAATTGCCACTGCAGATTTTACTCCAGGGTGGTGAGCGGAAGCTGGCAGCAACTTTGTCAGAACGATAGTCAGGCGCTCAGGGTATTGCTGACAGCTTTCAGAACAGCCAGTGAGAGTGCGGAAGTTGATATCATCAACTTGTGTGCTTGCGCTGACTGCGTTGATGTGCGCAGGCGGAGATGTCCAGCGAGTTGAGCAAGCTGAAAGAGGAGAAAGAATTTCTTCGGAATTTGAATGAAACACTCCTGATGAACCAGAAAGAATGGAGAGACAAGTCTAGAAACCTGGAAGAGCAACTGCAGCAGGTCAAGCAGGAAAAAGATGCAGTCATTAAGGTGATTCAGAAATGATGGGCTCAGCAGTGGACTCCAGTTCCAGTTTCGATTCTTTTATTCTCTCTTCTTTCGATTTGACTCAGTTTCATCTACGCTGTCCTGGCACAGCTCGCTTTTTCTTGACATGCACCAATTTGGTCATGGGATCCGTGAGGATCGCAGGCAGAAGGAACAGTTGTGCTGACGAGGGTTTTGAACATCTGTGCGCAGGATTTAGAAGATCAAGCACGAGATCTGATTATGTTCATCGAGTCCCAGAAAGTCATTTCCGAGAATGGGGAGGACCTGCAAGGTGGTTCACTGCTTGCATTGCCAGAAGGGCAGAGGCCAGTGATTTCAAGGGGCAGGAGAGGCGCACGACGTCAGCGCTCGTGAGCCTTTGTAAGAACATGTATATAGGCTATGACGTATGTACTCACAGTATGTAACATGTGCGTCAAAAGTTGCACAGCTGCCCTTATGCCTCCCCACCATGATTTGACGATCTGAGCAACACCAAAGAAATGTCAACTGACTAAATGAGTGTGCTGTGTCGCTCAGGTAATGGCGCACAGCTGAGGTCCCTGAATCTGTAGCAAACACATCAATAACGCCTTTTAGAAATGCAACAGACGATAGAGGCACACACCAGCCGTTCAGTTCAGAATCCAGTTATACTGCCACCGATATCGTCGCTCGTAGAAGGCGTCACTGCCCTACATCTCATAACCGATGAGCGCATCGGCCGTTCCCTCTCCCCGCGGAATGTTCACAAAATCCACAACCAGGGCCCCAAACCTGGGCCTTGTCAACCGAGGCTTCCTCAAGACCAGCGTGCAGAACTGCTCGCAGTCCTCCTTGGTCAATGCCCTCTCATGTCTGACCAAGAAACGGCTGTCGCTCAGCACTTGTGCCAACCAGGCACCCGCTGCTTCGCTGCTCCCCACCAGATCGTACAGAATGTCCGCAACCTTCTTCAGCATGTGTCTTGGGCATGAGTCACATGCACTCCACACAAGACGTTCCAGGATGCACTGCCCGTTGGCAGAAACGCAGGCATCGACACTGGCTGCAAGTTGGGCCGATTCTGCCTGCTTGGTCTGTTTCTTTGTTGGACCGAGAGCATGTGCCAGCAGCGACAGGGCTGCCTGCAGGGGCTCTCGCTCTGCCACCCCTAGAGTTTGGACGCACCATTGCAGGACGGTGGGGAAGACAGGGTACGGAACCAGGAGGTCAGGGGCGAACAGGAGGTACGAGTCAGCGAGCTTGAGCACTCCGTGGACAAGCTCCTGGTGAGAAGAAAGGTCTCCAGCCTGCCAGGCAACCGTGAGCACAGTCTTACACCCATGATTCTTCTAAGTTTGGCACACACTGAATGCTCTGAAGTGAAGTGATCATTGAAACAAGAAAGAATCAAATGTGCATCGGGTGGGACGTTTGCAGGCTTTGTGCAGGTCAGCATATGGCGATGTGCTATTGCATTCGTGGCTGAGCCCAGAGCATAGCTCCGGTCAAATGCAATGCTGGATGACACACTGTCCGCAACCATGCATCTCGTTCCCTGCCACTTGATAGGCAATTATATTCATCCACTATGGAGGCATACACGATGGAGACACAGACGTTTGCAGCGTTGGTAGTACAAGCAGTCTGGAAAACAGTAACAATGCCACTTCAGGCCTTCTTTAGACTTTGGTCAATGATTGCACACTTCGTTCCCAGCACCATCTTTTCAGCAGCCGCTGTGGCAAAAAATCTGCTGCCTGGCACATCCAAAACTGCAGCTGCTGGCCCCTCAACCCCTTTCTGCCATCTGGTATGAGTTCCATACTTTTTTCTTGGGGTGAGTGGCCGGGTGGGGCAGCCACAGGGCATGGCCATCCTAGAGCATTCTGTCCACATCACTCTGGGGTTGCATTGCTCTTGGGTTCAGGCACACGATGCGATCAACCTTCTTCCAATTGTTCCAATCTGAGCAATGCCACTTAATTGAAATTTGCCAAAATTGTCAAGTCCTGCCCATGCACCAACTACAAGGCGACGACTGGGGATGAACGCTTCTAGAAACTCTGGAGCCCAGCCCTTCACAACGTCGCACCTGGAACACAGGAGCCACAGTAGAGCACACAGCTTCCAACATCTGTGCGAGCAGGACATTTGTGGAACTGTCCTGCGACCTGTCCATGGTCTCGATGGCTGCGCCGACCACGCTGAGACATTCTTCAAGGCGATGGACCTTGAAGATGGTCAGGATGTGTGGCAGCATGGCAGGCAGTAGTGGTGCAACATAGCCTTGGGCGGAAAGGCAACTCCACTGCAACAGAGAACACCCTTACGATCCAAGGCAGAGTCACAGTCCAAGACAGCAAACAAAGCTGGCAATACCCAAGGCATCATCATAATCTCCGTAGCTGGCCAGGTCACGGCATGTGCAACAGACCCCGATAGTGACTACCTCATAACTTGCACTGTGGATTGGGTACTCATGCTGTGCATGTCCATGCATGCATGATCCTCACCTATTCCAACAAGTGCAGCCACAACATGAACGCACTTGAACTCAAATGTGCTGGACTTTGCACAGGGGAGCCAGCCACAATCCTGGCCACAGATGCACAGGCAAGATTGTCACCTTGAACACCTCGCACACCGCTGCCATGACCTCAGGGTTTGAACTCCACAGTGGCGAGTTGACAAGGCGAAGGAGACAAGGCCAGGCACATTCCAGAACAGCGACTGCTGGGTGGCGGGGGCAAGGGTCCCCCTCCATGAACCGCACAACTCTGCCCACCAAGCTGACCTCCTCAACTAGTGCTGCAACAAGGCTCTGTGGCACAGGTGGCGTTCCTGGACATGGTGGAGTGAACTCATGAAACAAAGCAGAATTCATGAAGCTCTATCTTTTGCTGGTACTGAAAACATGCTCGATGCAAACTTGCAGCCACTGCTACAATTCTACACAGGTACATATAGGTATATTGGTACGTATTGGTGCACCTTCCATACAGATGGTTGTCGATCGGTGCAGTACATTGATGCAGGCAATCCAACACCGATGTGTTGGCCAAGCACAGCACAAGGTGATAGTTGGTCGCACTCAAACCCGTTCTGGATGCTCTAGGTGCATTACTGTGCTTCAGCAGATTGATATGCTGTTGGCAGTACACTAATTGCTGGCAACAACGCCATCGCCCCCCAAAATATGCAGCCCAAGTCAATGATGGCCCAGATTTCCACACAGCTGACACAGGCAACATCACCTTCATTGTGATATCAAACCACCTTCCCCTCCTGCCTCCACAACATTGACATGACACCAGGATGATTAACTGTGCACTGCACAAATTGCCTGCTGCCCCCCACAAGTGCAACAAATGGGAAAGGAGATGGACAGAGGTTTTCCAAGAACCACCTTTTTGTGCTGTGGTGTCGATGGCAGCTACCAGCGGCTCCACCAGGAAAATTCCAAGGGCCACTCCCTCGCTCTTGAGCCTGGCAGCCAGTCTGGACAATCCTTCAATGAGCGGAATTCGCTCTGAAAGCGCCAGCCCCCCTGCCTGTCCCCGAGACGAGCAAGGCAGTGAGGACACGACCTGGGCAAGCTCTGCACACATCAAGACATGGCAGCATAGTATGCATGAACGTTAGGGACAGGTCCACAGATGCGGTTGACACTGCACCAGCCTGTACTAGGAGCGTGTGGAAAATGAAGCCTCAAGGCTGGCAGGATTCCTGGCAAAGGATACAGGTGTCCATCCCAGAGCATTGGCACCCAATGGGTGCCAGAAAAAAAGGGCTTAAAAACTGCAAATTCATTGGCTCAATGGCCTGCGTAGGTTGCAAGGTTTGCCTACCGCACACCCTGAGTTAAAATCCACTGTGTCACTTCCAACTCCCAGGTGCAGCAATCGGTTGCTAGTGTTAACACCAGGTCTGTCCGTTTGCGTAACCAAAAAGCAGAGCTAAGGAGGGTCCAAGAGTTATCCAATGGGGGCTCAGGTGTATTTGACACTGTGTGAGTGCTATTGTTATTAACCATGCTGTAGGTGCTGCACACGTGGGCACTGCCATATCTTGCCTGTTCTTCCGTCTTCCTGCCTTTTGCAAACTTGTAGAAATGACAAATACCCAGTCAGGTCAAGCACAT